AGCATAAGCATTAGGTGCGATTGCCTTGGGACTCTGCTGCTTTGTGGGGAGGGGAGATTAAGAGCTCTTAAGAGCAAAAGACAGAATGAAAATTATTGTGTGTGAACAGAAATTTGTTTTATAAAGGAAAAATAATTTTTGCAAACAGAAAATGCAAAAATTGAAGCTTCATTTTTCATAACAAACAGTTCTTATAAACTGCATTTCAAGAGTGCAGTCTCTCATTAGCCACTGGCTTTAATTATAGTAGATTTTACTAAATTTTACAACAATCCAAGCCACTTCTTTAAGGTTGTAATTTGGTATGGGACAGAAATAAATCATAATTAATATATTAAAATAGTTGTATAAGTGATGTAACTAAATCTGTCTCATGAAACCTGATCCAGTTGTAATCAACTGGATAAAACCATAACAACAGTTCTTCAAAGTACAGTTTTGAAGTAACTGAATCTTTATCTGGCAAAATCAGATACAGCCTTTAAACACAGATTTTAAAGTTTGCAAAGTATTTTTTTTTTAAATGTTGCTAAAAAATAATATGTCGTTTTCATAAACCCAATATTGCGTATGAGCTTGTACACCTCTGGTCAGTGGTCCCATGGTTACTGGCAGATAATGAGCTAAATGGAAATGAAGTACCTAATCTTAATCTGCCTAAGGCTCCTTATAACTTCAGGTCAGAACCAAGGTTGCATCTCAAAGGAGACAACTAAAGAGATGCTGAGTCTGGGAGCGAAATAAAAGTCTGGCAAAAGGAATAGAACCAGTTTACCAGTGGGCCAGAATTATGCTGTGAAGGTAGTCATTTATGAGCAATGGAATGGTTTAGTCCTGTCTGGAACGAGGAATTAGCTGGCCCTGCTCAACTGGGCCTTCCTGGTGAAAGCAACGTAAAAAAGAAAAATCCCCACCACAGGTCGGGGCTGTCTTCCAAAGCGATTTATTTCTCTGCTGGCCATGACTTTGTCTCTGAATTTAAAGTAAGAATTAAGCAGTAAATCCTTTTGTATTTTTTACAGGCACATTTAATGAAATAAGGCACTAAAAGCACATGCAGGCTTACTAGAATAAAACACCCTGCAAAAATATTTGTCTCCAGTAAAGTGAATTCAAGCTTATCCAATCATTATTGATTTTGGTGGAGTATTGCCGTAGCATCATTATCCACCTTACGGTGATGTGTAAGTTTTCCCCTTATTAAATCATACAGTAATACATCTTTCTGTTGTTGCATATTTCCTTCTGTGGCGCAGCAGCTGTTGACTGCAGTGAATAACAGGGTTACAGATTTCATATCAGAGAGAATGAGAAAACAAGACAGAAAAAAAAACTCAGGAAGGAAATATGATATTGGATATTCGAAAGGCATTCGGAAACAATATTAGATTTTTAACAGCTGGACGTTAAGACAAGGACAAATAATATGTGCGACGAGGAAGAGGGCGGGGAGATAAATGGTTGTGATTCTTATTCACAAGGACATTTGAGCTTTGCCTCATGGCCAGACATGAATGAGTAGATTTCAATAGTATCGACTGTTGCTTTGGACATCAGCAAACACACATACTCCCGCACAGGCATAAAGACTGACCGTCTGGAATACAGAATGGACCTGTCTGCTGTTCAGGATTTTCTGCTAAAAAAAATAAAAAAATAAAAACAGCATTACAAACTGAAAGGTTCTGAATGGGATCGGCCTTTTTGTCTTATGGGAATCTACAGTCTGATCAACATCTAAACTTTAGTTTTTAGAGTAAACTTCTTCTCAAATATACAAGCTGCAGTATAATTAAATGTACCCTTGAATCAGTTTTTATTGAACCAGCTTTTGCAGCATGAGGTTAAACATTTTTTTGTATCTTTGTGCAGGTATTTTGTTCCTCCCTTCTTTCTAGAACCCTTGTAGTTCAGTCAGGTTTCTGAGCAGCTATGCTATCTTCTCTACAGCTGCTCAAACAGGTTAAGGTTAGACTTAGTTCTTTTTATGGGGCATTAGAACTTATTGGTTGTTTCCTTTCTCTACTTTGTTGGATTAAGCTTTAATCGTCAGAAAGAAAGCTGCATATTTGATTTCTAAGTGCTGCAATTTACCCAGATGCCTTTGAAATAAACCAAATTCCTCATCTGTGCACTTCTTAAGCTGAAAGTTGCTATATAATTTTTGGCTTTAACTAATCCTGATGTTCTGCTTAATGGCTAGACATCTCTAGTGTGATCTTATCCGTCTAAAGGACATTGTACCAGAGATCTCATGGTCCTTCTTTATATAGCTTTGCTAACTCAAGTTGTGCTGTCAAATTCTAAAAGATATTCCTTATCCTTGCATTTTTTTTGTCTTGATTAGACTTTTTCTAACTGTATTATCATAAAAGAGAACTTTCAACGGGTAACAGAGACCTGTAGAGTCTAGAAGGGGCTTTATTTCTTTGCATGTTGCATGGTCTGATTTGCTGCTGTTCGCTGTCTCAAAGCTCTTCCACTGGTGAGTAATCTTTCTCACTGCAGAATAATTGACTTCCGCTTGTATAAAAATCACCTCAGAACTCTTCCTGTTTTGATGGGTGGGGGCCGTAGCTTCAAATGAAATGCTCAAAGTTCAAATGGAATGTACTTCTCGCGTAATAATAATAATGGTGACAAAGTTTTTAAACTATGGTTAGATAAATTAGCAGAATAGCGTTGTTTTCTAATAAAGTAATGTCCATTAGTCAAATGATTTATGTTCACATTTAATTAGTTTCTCCTATTTTGTTTTTTTATGATTACATTTGGGGCCCGAGCTGTGTGACTTTGAATTATAATTTTTTTATTTGTGGGTGTCTCTGTCTTCAAAAGGCAGAGGACTGATATAACTCACTCTGTCTTGTACTGATATGTAAGAGTAGAACTTTGATGCTTGTCAACACTTTCTAAACATACCCAGGGAGCTGGAATGACACACACGTTAAGTTACACTCAGATTTATTTTGTTTCTGACTGCTTTTCTATTCTATCCATTAAAAGAAAAGACCAACCCTTAGCTCCTCAGCCGCTTTCCTTCCTGACAGTGGGCACACACATACTGAGCAGTCACAGCCAACGAGACGTTTTCATGGCAAAAATTGGATGCTCTCTTCTCGTTCCTCTCCAAAACTCAGCAGCACTCAAAACTCAAAGTGACATGTTTTGGCTTTGTGTTGAGGCAAAATGCGTTACTTACACACTCAAAGCAGTCATGCTAAGAAAATAGCTATTCTGACAACAGTCAACAGAAAGGATGTCTTCAAGAAGAAAAGACGCTGTTGTTGGTGCAGCTTTTCAGATCTAATTTTACTTCCTAATTTTTTGCTTTTTACATTTTGACGCAGTTTACAAAGGATACATTTGTTGAATTATGTCGGAGATCAATGAATGTACAGTTTATTTATTTTTTTTTTTTAAATGTCATACCATTGAAATTGTGTATCCATACCTCCTCCAAAAATGTACCCCTGCTTTGCTTAACTTTTAAATGGCATTACATGATAATTCTTAAGAAAACAATAATCTGCATGACCAGGATGTTAGTTATTTCTTAGTGGAATCCTCATCCTCCTAAAGGCTCATATTTCAAGGGCCAAACTCTCCCTCGAAACCATGTTAAAGCACGTTACTGTTGACACCGGAATTTTGCCAACTTGCACAACATTGTCACTTAAAGTGCAAATTTGACATGAAAAGCCCTTCTCTTGCTTTTCTGTGTTTAATATCGCGCTGACAACTGTATCATTCCTGCACACTGTAATCAAATAATGACACCGTGGTAAATGTTCCCCCGTGACATTTCCTATTATAAAATGCACAGAGCCTGGTGTCAGACAATGCGTGGGTGGTATCACTCAGTGGCAAATGGGATTGTAAGTGGCATCTGGATGACATTCGGCGTGTTTGCATTGGAAGTAATTGCACTAGTATATTGATGATATGCATAGGTGTATGTCATCTGGAATTATGATTGTTATTCTTGAAATAAGGGGGGGAAATCACATCACTCTCCATTAAAATCTGTTTGACACTTTTATTGGGGGGGATATTACAAGTGTGTATGATTGCACTTTAAATCACACATAAAGGTATGTTTGATATGTAAACCGGTGATAGAAAAGTACAGAAATATTAAGCATCTCCAGGTTTCAAAGATTAATTTCAATCTAACAACCATGTATGGCTAAATATGTGCATTTGCATGCATTTGTGAGCAATAGCTGACCACCAAGAAGCCAGTTTGTCTAACAGAGTTGTAGACATTTGCTCATTTTACATATCAACATATTTCCTATCTTGTTTCCACAAGTTTTTCTTCTATTCTGTTTCCTTCTCCTAATTTCCTAAAAGCTATCAGCCATACTTTTATGGAAATCGTACAGACATAAAATTTTATTGTAGATCAACATGCCCTGTTCAACTCTTTCTATGTGCTTTTAAATTATTTTCTGATAAAAATTATAGCCAAAATTTCATACCTCTGTCTGAAATCATATGTGGCATAAGCCAACCAAGGGGAGACATTTTAAATGTCTGAATGAGTTTTGTTTTTATTTGTGTTTTAAAGTAAATTCCTGCATTTACTTCTTAAAGCTTTAGCAAAAATTTTTAGCCTCATGCGAGAATATTGTATAGCAAAAAAGAATGGTTGCACCCCTTTCTCCCCATGTAAAACCAGATTTAAAAAAAAATGTTGTAATCTGTTGAAAGCAAAGCAGTTCAATCTTTAAAAAGAAAGGTATTCAGGTTAATTCTTGTACCTCTTGCAATCTTATTTAAAAAAATATATAAACAAAACATATTGCTGTTTCTCTCTTAAATGTTTCTTTCAAATAACATTTTATTTCATTACACTCAAAGTTGTAATCTTTTCCTCTTTACTTAGCTGTGCTAGTTCTTGTCACTGTGATAAAATGGAATCCACCTTATTACCGTACTTTAACTCGGTTTTATTATTCTCTTTTTTTTCCATACCTTTTCTCCATCTTTTCTAGACTCCCATGCTGTAGTTGAATTCCCTCTCGTTTCCCTCCTTGTCTGTTGGGACCTGGGAGGAAAATCTGCTATCCTCTTATTGGATTGGCTGTTTCACTTTGGCAGCTCTTCACTTGCCGCCCTGTGGCTTGTTTGGGTAATGATAATATCATTTAAATATCCCAGTACTTATCAGAGTATATCCTGTGTATATCAACACCTCAGATACACTCCTTTATAAAAGGTTGCATAAAATAATTCATGAACTAATATAGAGAGGAAACAGATGGAAAGTGTAAAAGAGATTAGTTAAACTAAATGAGAAAGTAGCAGAAGAATGGTTAAAAGAAAGAATTTGATTAGGATGAAATGTATCAGGTGTTACTTCTAGGCCTAAGATAGAGAGGAAAGTGAAAAGATGTTGTGGTTGAATTAGGATGAGAGATGTGTAATGTGACTCTGTGGCATTGTTCCAGACCAGAGGTGTGTTATTGTAAGCTATTCTCACCCAACACACGTCCACTGTACACTTGTGGTAATGTAAAACATCCTCCACCATCTCCTCATCTCTCCCCTCCAAGCTCTTTTTTTTCCCTCTCTGCAACATTGTTCTCTCGTGTTAGGATGTGTATACTAAGTGTGGGAAGTACAGGAGCATGCCAAATCCCAGATCAGGTTTAAAAATTGATTTAAATGACTGTTGTGGACAGCTGATAGATATAAAAGACATTTTTTTCTTCCTCTTTCATTTCCCAGGGAGTCTCTCCTTTGATGTTGGATGGTAGTCTGCAAACCTTTGAAGCTCAACTAGAGCGTCTCACTGCACTACTCGATTCTGCGTGAGGTAAAGTTTGTTGTGTGTTTAGACATGCATATATGCTGGGGGTGTGTGACACCACATCTAGCTCTCAGGACATGATTATGAAGTTTCAGTTTATGAGAAAGTGATGAATTTTAACCAATATTATGTGGAAAAATTAAGATTACCTGAGTTCACAAATCAAGCAAATACTTAAATGATACCAAATGTTTTATAGGATATTCAACCACTATAGGGTGCTCTTATCAAATTTCACTAGTCAACAAATGGTGATTTGTTTAAAAGTAGCACTGAAAGAATTGTTGTACTTTGTAAAACTATGCATTTCTGGTTTTATTAGTCTAAGTTATTTAAATACTAAACAGGATATCATAAAATTCAGTCTGGTCTCAATAGAATTGAACCCAGAACCTTCTTGCTGCATGGCAACAGTGCTACCCATAATTGTCTGCTTTTTGGCTTAGCCAAGTAGGTAGGGCCACCATCAAAAGATGGCGGCCATATTTTAGGCACTGCAAAAGTCAAGCTGGGCTCTACAATAACTACTTTTATCTTTCCAAATAAGCCTTAAACATAGGTAAGGGATGTGAAGTACTTTGCTTTACCAGATAATTACTTATGGTGAATTTTTTTTTAGCTAAACCACAAATCAACTTATTTTGCAGAAAAACTGTATAACTTGGGCCTTTAGAGTACCATATTTAGGTTAATATTTTTGTGTAAATTGTTTTATAAAACCATCTTAGTGGTACCTCTTTCATTTCCAGAATTAACTGAAGTTACAAATACAGCTGGTTTATTTCTGAGTCACAGCTACAATGGTGCATTCTACTTACCTATGGACTCAGAACCGGGTAATCGTAGTGACTTTGAGGGGACAAAGGTGGCCCCCAGTGTCTCTTTTTAGTGTTCATTTTGGTGACATATACAAGACTTGCTCTTGGACTGGGTTATGCTTTGATAAAAGGCACTCAGCAATCCTTTTCAAAACAGTTTCAAGAGTTTTATACTAAAACTACAAAGCTGAAGTTCTGTAATTTAGGCACCAGCTGCAGCCCTTATGCATTTCACAGGCATTTCTCTTTAATTGGTTAAATTACGAGAAGAGGGAAGCTCAAGACCTACTTCCTTTCTTGCTTCAAAATAAAAGTCTTTTAGATCTAAAGAAATTTCAAGCTCAAAGAAATGACCTGGAGGCAAAGGTTTATTAATAATAATGAGTAAGACTTAATTCAACAGATGATGTCATGGGCTGACAGTGCATGCAGGAGTGTTTAGTTTTAGAAACTTCCCTCTTCTCAAAAAAAAGTCATGCTTTTCTAATATTAAGAGATGTCATTGCATAAGAACTCCTACCTCTTCATCCACTTTAAAATGTAATTAGTATGGGGTTCTATTTACATTTCGACCTCCATAACAGACCTTAGTATACTGCTTTTTCACGGTTCATCTTATAGATAAGTGACCTATCATTTTATCAGATTTAAGAAAATCAGTTTCAGGTGCATAAGATTACCTATTTGCATTTAAGCTAGATTTCTTTTTTTTAATCTCCTAATAATCTTGCTATCACACATGTATGAGAGAGATATCTTTACCAACTCTAAATTTAACATATTGAACCTCTAACAAGGCAGTCACCTTTAAATTGCCCTGTGAGGATAAAAATCTCTAAAATGCTATTTTGCATTTCATCAGCTCTCTTTCTGCATTCCTCCAACCGACCGTACCCTCCAACAATCTAATAATCCCCAGGAGAGAAAATTCTGCTCTCTTGCCACGGATGCTGGTGGGGGTCGTGAGGTCAAGTACGGCTAATTTATTCACTCAGTCAGATTTCCTCTGACTCGTGGATGGCAGATGGAGAGGCCGATATGATATCACCCATCTGAATCACCCAGGGGAGAAAGAAGAGGCTGAGGTGGAGACGGCAAGGACAGATGTAGGGATGAGAGGAGAAGAGATTGAGAGGAAAGATTCAAAAAGAAAGGGGGCACAGATAGTAAAAATTGGGGAATTAAAAGTGGTTAGATAGAGAGATAGGGCGACATAGCCGGCAGGAGTGTGGGGGTATGTTCGCCCCACTGAGTCAGCTGTTGAGCTGAACATTGAGTTACACAAGCTCTTATCAGATGTGTGTGTGTGTGTGTGTGTGTCCTTATCTTAAGACAAGTGGTTCTGGTCCAATAATATCCAGGGAGCTGGTAGGAATAAGCTTCTTAACCCAATATCTGACATGGAGGAATGAGATAGAATAGATAGTGGCAGAGAGATGAGAAGATGTGATGAGGATGGAAAGAAAATGAAGAGTAGGAGATGAACTGATAGTGGGATTGTGAAGGCAATATGGGAACAACTTGAAGGATATGAGTTGTGGAAGTCGGTGAAAACTGGAATAGAAGACGTGATGTGAGAATGGTTTGGATGAGTAAAGTAAAATTAGGGGTCTAAAATAGTTATACTGTAGGCCTTTTTTCCAGAAAGAAAGGATTTGTGGAATCGGATCAACAGTGTCAACTTGAGGACACTTTTTCCAAGGAGGCCTTTTATATTCTCTGCTTATAGACGTCAGCCTGTCATCTGAAAACTCTTAATGGCTTTTCTAGGAACACCATTAGAAGATGGTGGTTGGGTTGATAATTTATTTAATGAATGTTAAAAGACCAATGAGCTGATTTTAGATACATTTAAAGAAAAGATAAAAGAAATACACAAATGACATAAACTTTAAAAAAAATGTGAATACAAAATATACTTTGATAGCGATCATTACCAGATTTTCTTTTTTTACCTTTTCAGATGCTGACTGACTGAAAATGAGGAGCAAGATTTGATGACCCATAGATTTCCTTACTCCTTTGACCATTTGGCTTCGACATCAGATCCAGCACTCATAAGCAAGAAAAGCTTTTACTTGCTCTTTCCCTGGAAGACAACACCTATCTTGATTATAAGAACAAACCAGTCCAGAAATCTTTAGGGGCAACAACCTAAATGATCTGAACTGACTCATTCCTAGGTGAAGTTGGTTGTTGACATATTGTATGACTGGACGTTCTTGAGATCCCTCCTCCAAAGAAAAAAACACCTCAGTCGCCATCTTAGGTTTCCTGCATGTCCTCAGACCCTTTCCAAGGGCCTTGAGTGTCGTCTTCAGTTTCTCTGAGGAGGATTCCTTTCCTCCTCCACCTAAAATCTTAAAGACATCCTTTGACCGCCCAAACATGGACCTCCACCGGGCAGCCTTCAAGATGGAGAGCTCCTCCTATCTCCCAAATCCTCTTGCCTCTCCTGCCCTCATGGTGTTGGCCTCCACGGCTGAAGCTTCCCGTGATGCTTCAATTCCATGCCAGCAGCCTCGTCCATTTGGCGTCCCTGTTTCTGTTGAAAAGGATGTCCATTTGCCGTTTAATAATGGCTCGTACACCTTTGCGTCAATGTATCACCGCCAAGGTGCAGTTCCACCAGGATTTCCCAACAGGGACTTTCCTCCTTCTCTCCTCCACCTTCATCATCAGTTTGCCCCACCCAACTTGGACTGCTCGCCCATCAGCATGCTGAACCACAGCGGTGTAGGCGCCTTTAGGCCTTTTGCCTCACCTCCGGAAGATCGAGATGGGGCACCAGGGGGTTATCAGTCGGCTTTCACTCCAGCCAAGCGCCTCAAAGGCTGCCTGGATGCAGAAGCTTCACCTCACCTGCGTTACTCTGATGCTGAAGGGAAAGAGTATGACTTTGGTGGCACCCAGATCCCTCCTGGAGGCTCACCCAGCAGCGCCTTGAAAGCAGTCGAGGACAGCGGGAAAAAGATCTTTGCCGTGTCAGGCCTCCTGTCCGACCGAGAGACTTCCTCCAGCCCAGAAGACCGCATTGAACGCTGTGAGTACTGATTTACATGTTTCCCACTACAATCTTTTGTAAGGAATATAATTCTACATACATGATGCATTTAAACACAGTAAGATAACTAACAAACCAAACCAATTGGCAACCAATTCAACCCTTTATTAGAAACCTTTATGTAGCCTTGAAATTTGCATTGGAAGGTTGAATAATCTCAAGGTCCATGTATAAAAAAACTTGAAATTCAGTCTTGGTAAACCCATTTGACCAACCCCCAAAGACCATTATATTACAATTACACATCAGTAGGCATCTTTTTTTAATCTAGTTTTATTAATTTGTTTTCCAACCACAACTTCCTGTTGTTTATGCAGAGCACAAGAACATCTTTTTATGAATAATTAGTGAAAATTAAAATCATGATTAATACTTTTAGTATGAAGACATTTGTAACAGTGACTGCATTAGGTAGTTTTTGCCAGTTTTGACAATGACAAAATTAAGGAATGAGTTCTATATTTATGTAGTCACATCCCTCAATGTTGTAACTGGGGTTCAGATAAGCTTAGATAATTGATTACCTTCCTGCATTGATTTGATAATAATAATAAAAACAATAATAAATTTTTGCTACATTTTGTTAAGGAACTTACTGAGTTGTATTGCACTAGTGAACAAGCCATCTATGTCTTCTTGTCATCATCTCTCCTGGCTCTTGGTATCCTTTCACAAGTCCACAAGCTTGACTGGTCACATTAGCATTTACCAGTGGAAGGTTGCCATTTGGCCCTCATACACTGGGATTCTGATTGTGTGAGCGTGCTTCAGTGTGTGTATATACGAGTAAGTGAGTGTGTGTGACTGGTTCAGAGACTGGGCGTGCTCTTTGCCATCAGCATTCATCATCGCTCCGCGCTGGCAGCCGCACTGCCAAAAGATTTACCCACATACCCCAACACTTGGCAGACCATGTTTGTTGGTGTATGTGTGGGAGTTTGTGGTAGATGGGTTGTAAAGGCTCCAAGCACAAACACACAAACACTCCAGTAGAGACACAAACAGCTTTTTAGCATGACCAGCAACATCTCCTACAGATGTCAACAAGCTGCGTTGGATCTTGGTGACAAATTGGGAGATGGGAAGACAGAGATGTGAGCTTGTGGCATCTAATTACAATGGCCTGTCTCTTTCTGCATTTTCAATTAAAAAAATATTACATAGTTTCTGCAAATTCTCTTATCGATACATCACTCTTCCTCCTTCTTATCCTCTTACATGTTTGAATTTGTTAGTGGGTGATTTGTCCTTGATGGAAGAGATGAGAGACAGAGGCGACGACCTGAGACTGATCCGATAAAAAGACCACCACAGGAGAGACAGAGAGGGTTAGGAAGAAAGAGCTGAAGAAAGAAAAGTAGAGGGGGGGAATTGGGAAAATTACACCCAGAGGCTGGCAAAGGTTGTGGTAGCAGCTGAGGACTGGAAGAGAGAAACTAAAGATTTAATATATTAAAGCTACAGTGTGTAATAATTACAGGCATATAAAGTCAGAAATTTAATATATTATACATAACTATGTTATTTATCATCACCTATGAGCTCAGCCTTTTAACCATAATATTTGCGTTGCCTTAGAATTCGTTATTTATAATTACATAGGAGCGGGTCTCGCAGCCATGGAGGCTGACATCTTTGCGCTACGGCAAGCGCAGAGGCAACAAACTAGCGATTGCGAGATCTCCCATGACGCTCAAAAATAACTACGGCAAGTTGAGAGAGATTAACTGAGACGGTACTGAACAGTAGATGGCAGTATTATGCCTGAGAAGCGTTTAGTCTGCCTGAAACCAAAGAAGAAGAAGAAGCAGGTATACTGCGCATCAGTAACAAGAAAGGTGAACAAGGCGGCAGGCGTGAGTGACTTTGCAAACTGTTTGGCACTGTGTGGCCAAACATCAGACGAATGGAGGATCATGCCTACTCTGTATCACAACGAAAAGCGGCGGACACCGAACCCCCGTCATCTAAGAAGCGGAAACACGACGAGAATAAACGCAAGCGTGACAAGAAACGGCAAAAAACACGGATCAACATTGGCACGGCATTTACACGATGGAAGTCACTGATGGAGGAAAAAGGTTTTCAAAGTGACGCTCAAGTTGCCAGTTTTCTCTTGGACAGGTAATTAATCCTACACACACAATTGTCTAATATCACTGCAGTTTTTGGAGTACAGGATGCTCAGACCTGTCTAAAACAATAACATGCTGCGTGATGATGCTGTTACTCTCCAGTATACTTATTCAGCAACGTCCCTGACGTTTCACAGGTAATGATTCAGTAATTTTCTGTAAAATAATTTTCTGGATATATACCTCGGTTACTTCTCTCCGGCTCCTTTGGAGATCTTCAAGCCTTTCCTCCTCTGCTCTCACCCCGCTGGCTCCCCTCTCTCGCCTGGCCCTAGCTGCACGGCCTCCCTGCCTTCGCCCTCGTCCTCTCCCTCTCCCTCGCGTTGTAACCCCCGTGCCACCAAAATGACTTGGACTCTGTAAACGGGGGATATATATTCTTCCAGCGAACACAATCTCGCTGTTAAACTAATGACTACAATTACTTCGTCTGTTTATATCACCATGCAAAGCAGCTCACCAAGACGTCACAACGATGTAGAAAAAATAACGGGTATATTTATTATCTTAAGTCTACATGAAATCTATACCCTACACAGACTAATGAAATACTATCTGTAAAATTATCTATGTAAACAAACCTCATCACTTGAGAGGGTAGGTGATGTGGACGTCGTAGAAGAAATTTTGTCCCGTAACGCTCGCCGTACTGTTGGGGGGGAGAAGCGGTGGGGGGGAGATGTTCATGTTGCTGCGGTCTGTAGTCTGACCGCTAGATGTCGCTGAAAATTACACACTGTAGCTTTAATATAAAGAGACAAGATCAAGCAGAATGAAAAGGGTAAAATAGGGTGAAGGGTTAGAGTAAAAACTGTGAGTGCAAGGCTTTTGTGCTGCCTTTAGGTGGCCTCAAATCTGTATCTAAATACATTTACTTTCAGCATTGTAGCATCCACCTCAGCTATAGGCTTTAAACACAATTGGTAGTGTAGAGGAGCTTCTTACAGCAGAGTTACGGGTTCTTCTTCACTGGCCACAAAAATCCAGAGGAGCTGTAACAAACAAACAACTCTTTGGGGCAGTCCCTAGAGGGTAATGGCTTTGCTGTTTCACACAAACACACACACCCATACAACACTCAGCAAGCAATTCTCAAACTACTTCACACAATAACCTATTTTGGACTGCCATACTGATTAGAAGCTTTAATGTGCTGGGGATCATAAAATTAAAGACTGACTGAGGTCACAGAGTAATCATATAGCCAATTCATAATATAGAAGTTACACAATCAGTTTAAAATCAAGTGATTATTTGTATCATTTCTGTACTTTAGATTTTTTATTATTTTTTTATTCACATCAAACATATGTTTGATGAATGGTCCCATAGAGACATTGTAGGGCGGCAGACACATTGAAGATAACAAGGAACTTATTGTACTGGTGTGCTGAGGTATCTATGGGTAACTTATCAGTAGTGATAGGATTTATAATCTCTGGCTTTAATTTACAGTTGCTAATAAAGTGCGGATATCTTTCGCCCATGTGAAATTAATTACACGTGGCTTCAGGGATGCAGTAAACTAATAATGACACTAATAACAACAGTTTTAAGGGTATGTTTTTGTCAGCGATATTTATCTAGAGACTGAAATCATGCCCATTCCTTCTCACAAAATAGCTTAAGCTCAGTCTGATTGGATCTAAAACATCTGTGCACATCAGATTTCAAATGTGGATTAAGATTTAGGTCTTGACTGTGACTCTGTTTTTAAAACCTGAAAAAGTTTTTAGTCAGATTATTCCATACTAGCTCTTGCTGGATATCTGAGGTTACGATCCTGTTGAAAGGAGATCAGCTTTCCGGTTGCTGCTTTAGAAAATCGTAATGAAGGTTTAAGGGCAGGATCTCCATGTCTTACCTTGGCACAATTATTAACCCTCATAAATAACGGAATCAGGAAGCAATCTTCTAATATATGTTTGTTTGTAATGCTGTAGCGGTATCCATGAACCGCCACACCCCCCCACCCAAAAAAAAAAAAAAGTTTCAAAAATATTATCCCTTATGTGCCTATTGTCAACCTTGATGATCCTGGTGATGTTTTGTATCTGTAATAAACCTCTGTGGCCATTAATCACTAAATAGGTGGGTATATATATATATATATATATATATATATATATATATATATATATATATATATATATATATATATATATATATATATATATATATATATATATATATATATATATATATATATATATATATATATATACCTAGTAAGATACCTTTTATTTTGAGATGACTAAATGCCATGTCAACTGCTTGTACCTGACCAGATTGACATTACAGGGATTATTCCTGAAAAAAAAAATGGATTTACACAATTAAAGCCAGGAACCAAGGGATTTTGCAGTCTGTTGTCCAGGGATATGAAGATTAAGCAGACATTTTGTGCAGCAGCAAAACAAACAAACAAATAAACAAACAAACAGGAGTCAGATATTTGCCTACATGGTTCCTCTGCAAAATCAAAATCTTTATTCTTATGTGCCATATTCCACATACAGGGTAACAAGCATATTTTCTTTTTTTCAAATCTTTCTCTTCCTGTTACAATCTGATTACATTCTTTTATTCAAGTTCATAAGTGTAAATGTGAGCCACCCTTGACTATCTTCACGCATTACAACAAAAGCATTAAACATCTCAAAAACCCTGCAATCCTTGGCTCTTTCCGTGAAATTCTGTTGAGTCCGCTGCCACTCCAGGCAACAGTGGCCTTCTCAATGCTAAGCCATCCTAAATCCCCCCACCGCACCAGCAGGCACGTCGGCTGTTAACTAAACCCGCTAACCTGTCAGCCGCTAAACCTGCACATAAAGGCCTCATCAT